AAGGCACTATATATAGACAACGGTAATTTACAAGCACCCTTGGTGGGGGCGAGTTTTACATGCCACTCCAATGGCGCTAGTTGGACCTCTTCTAGGGGGACTTGGCCCATATGATTATAGGCTCTCCCAAAGTAGCTCCTCATCTACTAGGTTATGTCTGGTACTACATGTCCTGATAGATGCCCATACCAGAAGAAGCACAAGTACAACTCAAGCCTTGGTTGTGAGGATTGCCCTTCGCAACCTACGCGTGCGCGCCTCGCTAGAAACTCCATCCCAAAACCCTATGGGAAAAAAGGGATGGAGAAAAGAGCATGTGTACGACTCTAGCCTATACATGTGCTGACTCCTGAGGCTTCTAGCTCCAAGTGCCTTGATGTTGATGTTCCCGATGTCTTCATTTTTAGGCTTCGGCTTCCTTCCACCGCCTCTGTGACATGGTTCGTCGGTTTCACATGTCTTCATACATGCTTTCACAATATTTTTATTAGAAGTTCTTTGATAGGTGCACTCCTTCCCATTAGGAAAATTCCTATACATAGGAGCAAATTCAAGGGAAATTAGTATTTTTTTAGTTGAATTGACACTATTAACTCCTCTAAACGGAGCATGGATAAACTTTGCCTTGGTTTTGAAAAAGCAGGGCAAAATCACAATGTGAATAAATGAGGAAAATCACAATTGACTTCAAAACCATGGTAGGAACACAAGATCCCCCTTAAAATTTTGAGATAATATCTCCCATATTTGTGCTTAACTATAGAGTTTCAATTTTATCAAATGTCATACATGTTTAATTTATAATTCAAATTTTGAATTGAGTATACATGGATGTACACTTTGAAGCATAGAAGTCCTAAGTTTGTGAATAGCGTAGAACATTCTACAGTGAATGCCTCCGAGGCGCGTATAACACAAATAGTTATGGGCAGCAATGGAGCTTGATGGTGAAACAAGAGGGGGCCATCAGCACTAATTTCTTACTTTAATATGCATACTTATTAATTTTAATCACTAGTTTAATAGCTACTTAATGGAATTTTCAATTAGAAAGGAGGGGCCATGGCACTCTTTGGCCTGCATGTAGCTCCGCTAGTGGTTATGGGGGGTGATGGATTTTGTATACTACACATGTGTTGATTGCAAGAATTAGAAGCAATGTAAAAACATTATGCAATCCATTGTCAATTTTTTGTGATAGGTTTCAAAGCACACTATATGAGTTAGACTATGGGAAGATGATAACAAGTTAGCTATTGAAACTGGTGTCAGTCAACCATCAAAAGCATTTCCTAATGGCAATTGTTGACTGTTCTAACTCGTCAGATTTGAAGGTCCTATTCTTGTCATGAAAACTTGACAAGGTATTTGACAAGAATTTGTTGAATCGGTGTCAACTCGAGAAAAAACATTACATTGTTGACACAGAGCACATATTTCATCGATGTTACTGTTATTGCTTGAGGAGCTATTGAGTACCAGTGGGATCAATACTTCCTCAGTTCTAATATTTAGGTTGTTTTAGTTTTGTTCTAAACCAAACTTATATAATTTAGACCAAGTTCAAATAAAAGTATATAAACATCTACAATGTTAAATATTTTCGCTAAATCTACCATTGAAGCATGTGCATTTATTTAGATTTTAATATATGTACTTTTTGTAACTTAATTAAAGTTCACGAGTTTGACTTAGAATAAAACTAAGTCAATATCAATATCAATATATATATGCCCCTGTTTTTTTTATGATGTGCATTTCATTGTTCGATGGTGTCATCGAGTGATTTTGATGGATCATCATGGCCATGTTTGGAGCGGGCACCAACACATCGTGTCTAGCTAGCCCTAGAGCTTGCCATTCCTGAGCTCAAGAGAAAGCTACATGTCATGGCAAAGCTATGGTCCTGTTTGGTACAGCTTATATGGGAAGCGCTTTCCAGATAAGCTACATAAATAGAGTAAAAGCGGCGGTTAAAATAAGCTGGTCTGATCTAGTTTCTACTTTTTAGTATAAATGGGAACTGTGGGAATAAACGTGGCTAGAATAAACTGCTGAAAAACGCGACATTTGACTATGCCCTTGTTTAGTTGTAGGAATTTGGATTTTGGGGCTACTGTAGCACGTTCATTTTTATTTGGCAAATAGTATTTAAACATGGACTAATTAGGCTTAAAACGTTCGTCTCGCAATTTCCCACCAAACTGTGCAATTAGTTTTTCTTTTCATCTATATTTAATGCTCCATGCACGGGCCACAAACATTCGATGTGACAGGTACTGTAGCAACTTTTTGGAATTTGGGTTCCAACTAAACAAGGCCTATTTCAGCTTATTTTGGTCGTAAGCGGATTATTCTTTACGGAAGTTGGACATGTCGGTCCAAACGAGTTGGTCGCCCTCTCCGCAGTCACAGCATCGTCTCATCTGTCGGGCCACTTGAACCACCGGCGTGCATGTCGACGGAGATGCGGCTGAGGCGTACGGCGGCATTTATTTATTTCACCGAGACCGAGACATTGACGTGGCCAAGTCAGAAATTTGTAGGACCCGTACAATTCTTATATTGTACAAAAATATTTATCTAAAAAATATAATAGTTCTCTACAATATATATAAAGAAAAATATCCTTTGCGCTTTGCCGACAAGCCCGGAGAGCAGCCCGGGGTCACTGGACGGTGGCTCCAGCAGCGGAAGTTATGTGGTCGTCCTGTATAGGAGGAAGAAAAACAGGCAGAGGCAAAAGAAGAGATCACATGGAGATGGAATGGAGGGAGAAGGTGTATCTCAGAATCTTCTTTCCTGGACGCATGCTACGCATTGTATTGGCTTTGGCTCAGCTGAGCTGATCACCCAATGCATGTAACAGTAACAACTGTTGTATCCGTATGGACCATTTGGTTCTTTGGATGTGAGATTTGAAGGAAAGCAGCAGCTAATTTAAGCTACCCCAATGCGATAGCAACAGTGCAGTGAGGTAACATGGCCTGGCCATGTCCTGCTAGCATGCCGACGCAGCTCAAGCCTCAAGAGGATTATATTTGTGGGGATAAATCATAGATGGATGAAAGCCAAGCAACAAAGAAAGGAGGCATGTCATGACATGGTCACATGCGGCCTTGGGGCACCTGGAACCGAGATTTCAGCATCTTGTTCCTCCTCCCTACTTCTTTGTGTTGCTCTGGTCCCTCACTCCCTCCCATTTCAACGTTCCTATGCTTTTGATCAAGCGTGGCAGAGCCTCGTAGCAAGAAAAAAGCTCTACCATTGGACATTTGTGTTGCAGACATTCACGTTTTAAGTATTCCATACCTTAATAAATCATGTACTAATTTTTTTTTGGGAACGTGACTTCACACGTTTTTTATTAAGGAGATAAATCATGTACTAATACCTCATACACGACGAGGAATCCGAATTCCCAAAGCCAAAGTAGCAGAGTACCTAGCTCAGCTCAGCTCCAGCCAAGAGAGGATGGCATCATCCACATCCATGGATGCCACCACTCACCACTGTCATTCCATTATGCAGACAGCGCGCATCAGATTAGGACACCCCCAACCTAGGCAGCACCTGCCGTTGGCCCTGGGCTAAAAGGACCGGTGCACGTAGGAAGCTGTGTTATCTAGCCAAGTCCCATCCATCTGTCCACCGTACTTTTCTCCCCATGGACCACACTCCCAAGACACATCTGACAGTAGCTCCAAGCTTTTGACCGACGATACCATTACTTCCTCTGCACTGCGAGGCTACTAGTCTCCTTGACATGGATGTTTCGTGCCAGCGTGGAGCCTAGGGCAGTACACCACGTCCTTCGTTGGGGAAGCCCTTAAAGACCAACTGGCAGGCAGGGAGTACCGATGGCGAATCACAAACACACACAGGTTCTTCTGCTGCTTTAATCAAGACCAAAGGTTCCATGCACTACCTTTGGCGAGTCCTGCGGTTTTTAGCAGCCACCCAACTAGAGAAATTCACAGCAGTAGTTACCACCCTGTGAATTGTGATGGCAATTGGGTGGATCTGGATCACCACAAGTTCCAGGCAAACCAAACAAACTGGGCATCCATCCATTACTATGATGTCCTTCCTTCAGCAGAGCACCGACAACAGAGAAGAATAGTGTGCCAAACGATAAGAAATCAAAAAATGGTCACCGAAATTTGATGTAGAAACTAATACAACGCTCTTTTTATTCCAAAAAAAACTCTCTTTATATACTATACTAGCAACTAATATAACGCTCTTTTTCTTCCACAAAATCTCCATGCATCACCTCCGTGAACATGCACGCCGGTGGCCGGCCGGCCGGCCTTCAAGTGGCCCAACAGATGAGATGCAGAGAGGCCGACCGACTCATTCACTGCTCGTTTGGACCGACATGTCCAAAATCTGGAAAGGTAACTGTCATGGCCAGCATCCTTGTAGTCAAAACCACACTACTCCAATCAATCTGCGCAAAAATCCGATCCTACTTTCAATAATGCTTTCTAGCAAGTCACAGAGTTTAATAACATTACAAAGAAAAATAAGCCACCCTATATGATCACATCACATATACAACAAACTATCAAGCATTGACGGATCTTATATCCGGGCAATGCCCATAAGATCCTGGCACAAGGACAAGGAAAACAAGCAGGGAAGATCGCAAGCAAGAAATCACACAGTCCAGGTTTACTAATCTCCTCTTTTTTTTTTTCTTTCTTAATAATGTCATTAAAACGAACACATCTTAGTCTCTCTTCTTTCTTTTCCACAAAAGAAGCCACCACCACCAGAATGCTGCCTGCAAAACTAGCTTTTTCACCCAACGAAACTAGAGCCTAACTATTCATCTTTTTTTTTTCCTTTTTTGATAACATATAGAAGCTAGGAACCACCAACCAAGACAGGCATTCTACCAAAAGAAAGGAAAATAGAAGCCTTGGGCACCAAAGATCATAACCCAGAAGAGGTCAAAAAATTGTGAAGCCAAAAACAAAAGTTCCTGCTGGCCACTAGACGTCACAACTGTCAACCCGGACCGGCATCGAACCAATTGTCACCACACCAACTGTGTTAGTCTTACGGTCAGCCTCCACTGCGTTGGAACCAATTTTGAGGGAACCAAGTTTGGCAGCGACCCCCTGCTCCTCGCCACCCTCTGGAACAGCACTCGCAGAGCCACTGACTCCATTTAGCCGCTTCTCCACACCAACTGTGTTAGTCTTACAGTCAGCCTCCACTGCCTTGGAACCGATTTTGAGAGAACCAAGTTTAGCAGTGACCCTCTGCTCCTCGCCACCCTCTGGAACTGCGCTTGCAGAGCCACTAACTCCATTTAGCCGCTTTTCAGGTGCTTTCAGTGAGCCCTGGGCAGCACCGCTGTCTGCATGCTGCTTTGGATTTTCGACCTTCTTCCAGTACTGCTGTTTCCCCTCCGCACCTGCCTTCAAGCTTGAAGCTGGTGGATGGTTAGTTACAGCTTTCGCTGCATCCTCTTGGCTCTGATTGCCACTGCAATGACTTTCCTGTACTCCATTCTCTTTCTCAGCCTCATTGGTCTGGTTTTCAGAGACACACGGTTCCTGAGGTTTGATCACCTTAGCATCATGCGGCTTCTCGGCCACATTTTGTATCTCAGATGTTTTGTCTACCAGCACGCTGCTGGATTTTGTCTGCTGAGTGTCAGAAGCATCTTTTGTACGCTGTGCGACAGGTACAAAGTCTGGAGCATTGTAACTCAGCTTGCACCTTCTGTGTGTTTTCTTTTGCGCCTCTTCTGCCTCATATCTCATAAAATCATCAAACAAGCAGAACCTCGCTTTGATGTTTTTGAAGATCTCGATCATAGATATTCCAGGGAGGTATGGTATCTGCAAATGAGACATTGCGACAGATCATGACATGAGGTCTCCACATTCATATGAGAGCAAAGTTATTACGGCAGCTGACTACGGAAATGCTCAAGAGAAATAAACTACTTACTGAAATCAAACAATTTAACAGTACTGAAACAAATTCAATGCAAAACAGGGCATGGCACACTTACTTCCTGTGTATCTCTGCTGTGTGTCACAGGCTTGTTTTCATTATTCTGCAGTGTGATATGCTGCAAAGAACAATTTTGTATATCTTTAACGATGTGCCATCTCACAGGAAAGCATCCGGTCCATTTATCCTGACACCAGAAGTCCATGTCCTTGTGAAAATCAACAGGTCCAACCATCTCAGCCATGCCACAGAAGTGCCCACTACCATTGACCTGATAAACATAATAAAAGAATTCAATTGTTGAACTTCAAGCACGATAAATGTTATGGATATTCAATAAATCAATACTCACAGAGAAGAACAAGAAAACTGGACATTTAGTAGAATGCCTCCTTGATATCCTGTCAGCATCCCTGAATGCACTATCTAGCTTGCTGTTTCCATTGAAGGAACTTGACCATACACCATACTTTATCGATTTGTGCACATCTGCCTCACCAATTGACTTGATAACAAAGAACTTTGCATACGTATAGTCAATTCGGAGATCATCTCTGTTGTACTGGTCGGTTCTTATAATGATTGTCCCATCCGGATTACCGACAGGGAGCCTTGATGTGTAAGATTTCACAACTATGGCAGAGCTCTGATTGCTTGGTTTCTCAGAATCAACTAAGCTATGCACTTTTTGGCCAGTACCATTTAGATGACCACTTGACTTTGAAGATGGCTGGAATTTCTCAGCGGCAGCCCACTTCTGAAGATCAGATCCAGCAGCACATCCAAGGCAATTGTTTCCAGACAAATGTGCTGATACCTGTCATAAACAAGACACGTCAGTTGGGGACAGATGACACACAGCTTACTACAAGTAAAACATGCTATATTGAAAACAAGCAATAAAAAATCAGTACAATATTTATATACCATGCATCGGCTCACCACTATAGAAGCAAACTACAGTTTGCTAAAGAACACTTCGAACTCAATTAAGACCCACAGTACAGCATAGAAATAGGAAAACCTGTCTACCCTTTGGGTTTAGGTAAAACAAGACCAACACCAACACACACACACACACACACACCCCACCAAAAAAAAACATAATCATGTCCAAAACATTCATGGATGGAATATGTGTTTATAATTTCAGAGTTCATTTAGCTAAAAGTAATCCCAAAAACAAAAAGGTAATGACCCTTATAAGTTACTGAAAGTTAACTTCTGAACGACTTCAAAACTTAGGTTCCTTGCTAAAGGTGTTTTAATGAACTACCAGTACCCCACCGAAGCAATCCTGGAAAAAACTTCAGCATGAAGACCAGACATCGAGTGGTGTGATACATTGAGTGAATGAAGTTACCTAATAAACATTCTACTAAAAAGTTAACTTTGATTACAATGGTGTGAACATGTTCATGAGGGATCAGATTATCATGTGGAGGCGGCACAATACAGGCCCTACCGAAAAGGCTTAATCTTACAGTGGTTCAGGAAAGTTAATAATTCCTTCTATAGATAAGAATTAATCACAAATACACTGTAACTTGACAAAAGAAAGGCCGATCAGTAATGACTTATAAATTTGCCTACCTGAGAAGCATGAGGGAGTTTAGCAGGCACCATGCATCTATCCGGCAACTCTTGCTTCTGGGGAACCAAATTGTGCAGTTGAACCTTTGGTGGTTTTGCATGGTCCTGGAACTGCTTTGAAGGTACAATAGTAGACTGTACGGGTGGATGCATAACAATGTCGCTTTTTGTGGTGACGGGAGCAATTAAAGGAAATGCTGCATTTGCAGATGTTGCAGCATAACCTGGTATGCCAGGAAGAAATGCAACATTGGGGGAGTGAAGAGGTGTGGTTGCGCTTCCCGGGACACTATCTTGTGCATAAGGAAGAACAGCTGGAATGTAATAGGATGTCGGGGCTATTTGGCATGTGGAGTTAGCAGGGTCAGCAACATACTCCTGAGGCATAAATGAGCCATCGGGTACGAAAGAAGGATCAGAAGGGTAAGGACTGTAGGTAGGATGCATGGATCCATTGTCTGGGGCTGCGTAGTATACGCATTGCATGCCTTCAGCCTGCAAACAACCCAAAAGGAATGAACATATTAAAACACATGACTGTAAAGGGCACCAATTAAGTATCAAGTCTTTTATATTGTATATACTAACCGGATAGTAAATATCTTGGCCATCATATCCTAAAGAGCTCGGGTGGTTATACCATTCCATCGGTGATCCAACTTCTGCATTTGACAAATTGGTTACCATCAGATGAAATACTGAAAGGAGGGAAGCACCAAGGACAGGCATAATACAAAGATAGGACATTTCCTTTTACCTGCATAACCATATTGGTAGGGATTTGCAGTAGCAGGAACAAATACATTTTGTCCATACATTACTTCAGGAGTCATTCCCATCTCCATGCAATTCACACTTTTGAACAAGCACCTTGCTCTACTCCAATGTTCAGAGTGAGCTGGAATTAAAAGTGATAGGGCTGTTATTGACAATTTAAATATTCCATTCCATGCAAAAATAGATAAATACAAATGAAGGTCTGATCACTTAAAATGTAGCACGGTGTGCTGCATCACATCATTGTTCATAACCATTTTGTGTCAATGCTCAACGAGCAATGGGAAGAGGCACGCATACAATGAATAGCAGACTGGTATAGAAAGATGCAGCACAAAAGAATAAGTAAAACATATGTAGTAGGTTATATTTGGAAGTCACCGGAAACAGACATCATCACCAAGTTTGCTGTAGATAAAATAATAGACCAAACAGCCAGATGTCTGCATTTTTACCAAAGATATATATTTCCATATGCGATACCAATTTCATGGTCAACTAAAAAACCCTTATTCTTGCATTATTATATGTATGACACATCTAAGTTTGGAAGGATATAGGTACAGGTTGAACCTTTGGCTGTTTGCAAGTTTAGGGTGGGCCTAAGGGACGGTGGCCAAATCATCTCTCCATGCAGATCTTCAATAGCATACAAAACTTCGTGGAAGTAACGACTAATTGTTCCCACATATCTTAGTACTATAAAACTTAGACCACTTATTTGTTTTGAATGATTCACAAGGTTCAGATTTCGAACACTTCAACTAGTAGCAATTTCAGAACAACAGCAAGCATACATGGGACAAGAGTCTGAATCTTGGAGGGTAGCAAGCAGCTTATATGTATTCATTCATTCATCAATAAAAGAAAGACAACAGGCATGTTTACTTGATTGCAAGAATATCAAGGCTAGAGTCTCCGTCTTGAAATGATAAATTGTTTCTAATGCTACAATACATGCCTTTCTACATATACTAGATATATACTTCTCAGTGTATCCCTTATTCCCTTTCTTTTGATTTCGTTCAAGATTGAAGTAAACAACAAAAGGACAGAATTTGCAGCTCAGAACTAATCCCAACCTAGAGCATAGCATATAGCATAGACAGATACAGAAGAAGCTAGGTTACCTTGCTGCCCTGGATGGAGAAGCCTCCGATCCTTAGCTTTGCTGGTGATACAGAGGAAGGCCTGAATCCGATCCTTTGCTTTGCTGGTGATACAGAGGAAGGCCTGAAAACGAGAAAGGAGAGGTCAGGCGAGGAGGATCTGGGCGGCCGTCGGGGAAAACAAACAAAGCAGCGGCAAGGCGGCGTAGATCCGGCCATTAGATTCAAACCGCATCCGCCGATTGACTGGCGCGCGACCAAAATCGATGGCGGATCCGGTCGGAGAAGGATCCGGTGCGGTGCGTGTAGACTCACCCGAGACGGAACGGAGGGAGGGAGGTCGCCGGAGGGGAACGATTCCTTGGCCCGAGGAGGTGGGGAGGACGAGATCCCGGAGGCGAGGCGAGGCGAAGAAGGCGAAGGGAGGCGCGTGGGTTGTGGTTGATGGATGGAGGCGCCGTGCGCGAGTAACCCTAGAGCTAGGTCGGTTCGCTTCCAAAAGATCGGTCGGGCCAGGCTGCGGTGCTAGTTGGATTTGGGCTGCGGCTTATCAGGCAGGCCCAACCAGGCACACCGTGCCTGCTCGGTGACGTGACCTGTGGGCTTCAACCTGGGCTGGACCCAGCTGGCAGTGGCCATCCACTCAAAAAAAATGGCAGTGGCCAAGTATTTTGCTTGCTTCTACGACAAGTTTCAGTGAATGCTTTTTTTCCCCTTTTTGAAGATGAAGAAAAAAGAAATGTATGCCCTTTTCCCTGCCGGTTATAGTGAAAAGCTACGAATGTTTAGGAATGGTGAGGGAGCCACTGACGTGTGGGCCATCCTATGTAGGGCCCATAGTGTAGTGGCACGCCCCATGGCGTCCTTCGTTGAGACTGGCTGCGATTGGTAGTGCTTGTTGCACCAACGCTGTGGCTGCAGCGCCAGCAGCACCACTCACCAAGCATTTTCGAAATCAAGCAACCACAGCTGTAGTGGGCTAGGTTATGCTTTTTAGATGGGCAGGTCATTTTATATACACAGCTAAATAGACTAGTCTAGTTGAGAAATTAAGAGCAATAGATAATGCCCGTGCTAACGCCATGGCTTTATCTTGTGGATCCACATGAAAACAACCAATAATTTTTTTTTCATAGTTCAACTTTTACACAATTATATTTGAGCATGTTTACAATCCGAGAAACACTTTTACATAAGAAGGCATAGTAAAGTTATTTCTTATATTAACCATCTAGGTTATATTCTGCCTAAGTCCTTAATCATGACTTGGAGATCTTTAGGGAAGCTGTCAAAACATTCGTTTGCACGGCTCTTCAAAATGTCCGCCAAGAATTCCATCCTCAGTGAAGTTGATGATTATACATGGCAGATAATAAGCTAAATTATTAATTTCCTCGTCGTAACAGCTCCTAACACCTGTCATTCATAAATCGTACCTGTCGGTAAAACTCGCAAAGAGCAAGCAATGGCAGCGGCGATCCTGGTGCTGCAGGCCGAGCATCCAGCAGGCGCCCGCCTCCACCATAAATCAAGTAGTGTAGTCCTAAAAATTATGGACCAGTCTAAAAATTGTTTTCAGTAGTGTTTAATGATTAGATTAGTATTAGCAATTGTTTATAGCTAAACTCTAAGACACGAAAGTCATCAGGGATCAGAAAACTCACATAACCATGAGAGATGGCAGCTGTGAAAAGACATCAGAAATTGAGCCCTCTAACTTATTGTGTGATAAATCCCTGAAAATATATTAGAATTCAGAAACACAAATTTATCTTCACTGACTAAAATTCACTGCAGAATTAACGTGACTGAAAACATGTAGTTACAAATTACTGTGTGTATTTTCTTGGGTGCATAATGATTGGAGGCTTTCAGCGGGGGACTTTTTCCTGGGGGGCCTATTGTAATGCAAGCATGTGTGAGCAGAAGCACTGCTGGTTAGCCGATTAGAAGGTCAGGCAATACTGTGAGGAGCATATAAACTCTATCCATTTCCTGCAATCAAACTTTGGGAGCGACGCATAATTCTTTTCAACTTTAGCACACAAACTGAGAGTTATAATCCAAAAGGTAACATGTCGAAAAGAAACTAAGAGATAAGCTGTTGTAACAGAGCCTCTACTCTCGACCCAACCTTGTTTTCCTGGTGGTTTCTTTTTTATCCTCTCTCCATGTGGTACGAATCAGAGGGTAAAACCAAAAAGATGCAATCAATCAATTTAAGAAGAAAAGGAAACTACATATAGACCCCTGCAATGACACATGATAAGACAGACAGAACTGACTAAAAAGCCGGGAAATAATTATAGTAGGCAAAAAGGCTTACCAATACACTGGAGTTGTGACCTCGAGCAGGCCGAGAAGCGCACAATCTAGATGATTTTTTTTTGCAGTGCACACCTTGAATAGTAAAAGAAGAAACGAGAATCTCAGTTCTGAAACGAAAGAAAGAAAGCAGGGAAAACCTAGAAAGAAAAATCAGAGGCAAAAAGAAAGGAAATTAAAAATCTGCAACCTTATAAGACATTAAGATGGCAGGGTAAAATAAAAGATATCTTTTTTTCATTTGTTCGCTCATTCACTCTCATAAACCTACAACACTTTTAACACTACTAAGGAATATGGAAATCGGAGAAGAAAGTTGAACACATATCCAATCATACGAATGCAATACAGAACAAGACCTGACATGACAAACGTGATGATAAACATAATTGAACTGAGTCACAAAAGGTAACTGATTTTCTCCACAAATTACATAAAAATAGCATGCACCACAAAGTAATGAACTATCCATACAAATTCTAGAAACTATTGGCAGTTCTATATTGACTCTAGTTGTATATTTTTGTATATCTATTTTTAATGCAATGCTTTGAGATCCACCCTTTATCCACCGACGGATTGTTGTTAGCAAGCAGCCTAGAGGTCAAAAGAAAGCTTTCGACGAAGAATGAAACAACACCCAAGGGATGGCCATAAATCAAATACCTTCTAGATCAAAAACCAGTCTCTATCACCAAATTGATTTGCTGCTTCTCTTAATTCGTCTCCCTCCACCATATGAAACTGGTGCTCATATGTTGGTGTCCTGAGATAAAAAAAACAAGGACAAGGGGTCAGGAGAACCAAATATGGAGAAGGTTCTACATATGTTTGTATTTTTTAGCACATTTTTGGCTTTATTCAAAGTAGAAAGTATGTCTATCCCTACATGCCATAGCCTCTGAAAACTCAACAAGATGTGCATCAGTTGAGCTGACATGAGTTTGAGCAAGAAATTCATAATGCTACCTTTGCTAACACACAGAAGTTTTACCAATCCAGCCACACCTTTCTAGAAAACCATACACCAACGTCTTTATGGAAAAGGGAACCTCTGTCCAAAATCTTAATAAGACCTAAGAAAGAGATAATGCTTCACCTGGAGCATAGTAAACTGCTTTTTTTATGCCCATGAAATTCCAATTCCAGCACCATATTCGGCATTTATAGCATACAACAAAAACAAGAAATGGATGAAGCAAATTTAAGCAAAAATAAAGGAAATTGTAGCAGAATATATACTAACCTGCAAGAAAGTGGAGAGAAATGGATAGGGATAAATTCATCATCGGCAATGGGGTGTGCTCAGTAATAGAACAACCAACAAATTACGTGAAGTAAAGACATCATTGACAATAGATTTATGCTCAATTGCTCAGTAACAAATGTACAGAATGTAGCAATAGCGACACCATCATAACACATGCAAAAGAGAATCGCTAAGTGTCGGTGTTTCGAATAAACACCGGCTAGTAAATTTGTAATTGTTGCGCGTTAGGCCCGGATGGTGCACTAAAGGACACGAGGTTTATACTGATTCGGGCTGAACGTCCCTACGTCCAGTCTGCTGCCGCTCATGTTATTAGTACCAAAAATGGTTCGTAGTAGGGGGTACAAACGGTCGAGAGAGGAACAGGTCCCAAGTCTCTGATGGATTGGTCGAAAGGTCGCCGAGAGCTTGGTTGCTGCTCAGCTGTGAGTGATGTGTGTTGTTGAGTCGTGTCGGTTGATCTCTCTATGAGCCTGTCCGTCCCTTTAGTGGGATGCCTTGCCCTCCCTTTTATAGACCAAGGGGGAGCAGGGGTTACATGTTGGAGAAAGAAGAAAAACTAGAGGCCAAGAAGCCCCTCCGAAGGTGTTGGGCCCTCCTTTTCCGCTGAGCCAGCCTCGTGGACACGGCCAGACGGTGTCAGGGTTTGGCACGTTCGCCGGACGCCTGTGTGCTGACAACGCCATGCCCTTACCGGATCAGCAAGTGGTCACGTCCCATCCCGCCCCTCCGGGCGGCGTGTCGGACAAGGGTGTTGACCTGTAGCCCTGTGGGGAGCGGACGGCACGGTGACTGTACGTTCGTCACTGTAGAGGGCGCGAGTCTCTTCTTGGACCGTAGTGGTTGTCGTATGTCTATGTTAGGTTCCGCGTCCAAGGGCTGAAGGCGGCGCCTACAACACTATTTGGACTCTGTCACGCCCGGAATGGCCTAAAGCGCCTGTCCCGTCGTACCCTGACGGTACTTTCCTACAGCGGTGTAGGGCATGGTCCTTGGTACTGCGTTTGACTTGAATGTCCTGTCGTACCTTGTGCTCGTCATTATGAAGGGGTAGGGTGTAATCGTCGGGCGAGGTGGACTCTGCCCCCGACCGTCGGGCAAGGCGGAGCCTGTCCTCATCCATCAGGCGAGGCGAGACCTGCCCTCGGCCGTCGAGCGAGGCAGAGCCAGCCCTCGGGGGTCGGGCGAGGTGGAGCCAGCCCTTAGCCGTCGAGTGAGGCGGAGCCTAGCCCTCGGAGGTCGGGCGAGGCGGAACCAGTCTTCCGTCGTTTGGACAAGAAACCGCCTCGCCCTCGGAGGTCGGGAGTGGCGGAACCAGTCTTCCGTCATTCGGACAAGAAACGCAGTAGCGTTCTCGTCTGATCGGAAGTGTCAACGTTCGATGGTCATTAGTTCCACCTTATTAGGTACCCCGGTATTAGGTCCCCGACAGTAGCCCCCGAGCCCCCGGGTGATTCGGGCAGAATCGACCGGGGGTGTTTCGGTTCGCCAGAGGGTGCACGTGAGTGCACCCGATGGGTGTAGCCCCTGAGCCCCCGGGTGATTCGGGCAGAATCGCACGGGGGTGTTTCAGTTCGCCAGAGGGTGCGCGCGAGCGCACCCGATGGGTGTAGCCCCCGGGTGATTTGGGCAGAATCGCCCGGGGGGTGTTTCGGACCCTTCGCGGGTAAGGCTATGAGACTCGGTTTTTATCAACTGGAAAGTTTTAAGGGAACCCTGGTATCCCGTTCGCGGCGATTTTGTCCAGGGTCTACCTGGCTAGGGCTCGACCGTGGAACGAGGCCCTACTGATGCTCGCGTACCTACGTCTTAGTCGCTCATGGTCCTATCCCTCATTGGGATGGCCATCGAGAATGTTGGGCCGACCCTTGGGCTTTCTGGGCCCATACAGGCTGAAGGGGAAATTTTCTGACCCGTGTCCCCTCTGTGGGAAAAGAGTCCTATCCGCTCAGGAAGACGAACCGTTCAGCGCGATTTTGGTGGGAAAGGATAGGGATCGCTGGCGCGTATCCCACGACGTGACGCGGCGGTGTGTCGTGGCAGG